TTTCTTTCCTATTGCACAGTTATACTATTGAAGGTACCCTCTACAAACTGACAAAGTTTCAGGGTATGTTAGGGTGAGGACCCCCCCCCCCCCCCCCTCCCCTTAAAAAGAAATTCAAATTTTTTAATGATTTATCTGTGTAGAATAGAGGCTGCCGGATTGATCTTTACTTTAGTTTTCTGAAAATTCATGAAAACATTTGATCTAGTTTGTACAGAGAATTCGACCGTGTATCTTTTGGCGAAAAAAAAGAACCAAGACTTTATAATTTGTCTTTGTTGAGATATGTGTAAAATATCTGATAGTTACAATCATTTTACTTCAACCCGATATTTAACATAATAAAATTACTAGGATAGAAAGTATGATGATCAAAAACAAGTTTTTGATTTCTATAAATATGAGAAAATTTTTTCGATGATTATTTATCTTTTAATTTTTTTTTTTCTACCTATTGATTTTGTCATAGTATTTTCATCAAGACATGCAGCTGCACATCGTTCCATTTTATTTAATGATGATTTAATAGAAGATTTATCAAATGTAACTTGTAATGTATTATAAAAACCAGAATTTGTCCATAATTCACATGATGAAAAATGAATTTGATAATTCAATAAATGACCATGTTGAGTATAAAAATTTTCTTCAACATAAGCTGAAAAAACTCTTGTACCACCACATGTATCATTTGTTTTAATTTGACTACGAGTTAATTGTGTACATTTTATGTTACAAATTTGATCTTTTTGTCGATTATAATGCATAAGACCACCACCTGAACATCGACATGTTAATAATTGTAAATAAATTATTGGTGTATTACATAAATGAAAACATAATTTTGGTTCCATAAATGAACTAATAAAAAAACTTTCATGAAATACTTGTGTATAACAACCAGCATATTGATATGAACTATAAATTGGATGAATCATGAAAATTAAAAATAAAAGAGAGACTATTTTTGAATCGAACATTATTTTATTGAAAGAATATAAGTAAATGATACATATAGAAAGTGTTACTAATGTAGAAAACAAAAGAAAGAAAGAAAGAAAGAAGCAAAGGAAATATGAGATGTGTTGTAATTATTTGATATCAAAAAATTGATAATAGTACATAAAAAAAAAAAAAAAGAAAGACGAACAATTGTTTGTTATTATTTGATAGAAAAAGTTATGAGTATTGTATTTTATAATGGAAGACTTTTAATATGAAAATGTCTTTGTATTTTGGTTTTTCGATTGTTTATTAGACAAATAAACTAAATTTGATAGAAAAATATAAAAATCATTCATTTTTAGGACTTAATAGGCAACTCAAACAGTGTCTAGTATCCTATTAAATGTATAATAGTGGAGAAAGGTGGTCCACTTTTAGTTCTTGCAATCTAAATATCTCTTATGAGAAAGCATCCGAGAATTTTGAGTCTATGACAACTTTTACTCTACTTATCAAGATCTATCGATCTCGAAAGTTTCATAATTTTTCGTCGAGTCATTCTCGAGAAACCCCCGAAAAAGGAGGTCTTCTTAAGTCAGCAAAATATCGAATATGTCTTACTGCCCATGAAAACAAACCCACATCAATGTTTAGATAAAAAACCGCTATTCTTTGCGTTTAAACACATCTTTTGTGAAACACGATCTAAATTGAATGTCGAAATATATAAGGTACAAATTTGCATTCCTCCTTTCTCGCTGATTGTAAATAACGCTTTTCGAGGAAACCTCTTCAGCTGTTCCCTTCCAATATCAATGATTTTTTTTTTCGTCTATATATACTGTATCATGTTATAATAAAAATCCTAAAAGGATTTAACTAAGCTATCGAATTTTTTTCTAGAGATCCCAGGTTTTCGAAAAATTCGTATTTTTGAATTTTGACCATGTAGGAAAGTCAACTAGACTAGTTTTGAACAAAGTCTTTTCGAGATATAGATCCTTTTCCATGGATGATGTATACAACGTGCAGGTTTTGAAAGTTTCATATCTTGAAAAGATATTGTTCAAAAATTCTGAATCTTTTTTATATCAATTAGTCTAGTTGAATTCTTTCACAGACGAGTTAAATGCGTATTCAGATTTGGATTTTGAGTTAAAACGTCTTTTTATGAAATAAAGATCTGCGAAAATATTGGCAAACATTTCGTGATGTTACATTTTAAAAATATATCGTTTGAATAGAGTTTTTATCGAGGTAAATTATTTAACTTTAGTATAGTAGAATATACTTGAATATCATAAAAGAACAAAAAGAGCTGCATAAGAAACATGACAAACATAGACGAATAAAACAAGTTTACTTTGATAAGAAATATCTCTTGAGCAAGTTCGACATGCCATAGATAACATACTATCGAAGTAACAATTCTGTTGAATTTTATTTCTTAGTAACGATTAGTCACATAGAGTGTTGATTTAAACTCATAACAAAATTTATTATGATTCATTGTACGAGCATTATTTTTATACTTTTTTTAATTTAATAATAGGAGAGTTATTTTTGAAAAGAAAAAAAGTACGTAGTCCATCTTTGTTTATCATCATTACAAGATTTACTTAAGTTTTAGTTCAGGTTCTTGTTTTTCGTTACTAAATTCTTGTATAAATATATATATATATAGTTTTTCATTCTCTTTAAACATGATTTATGAGTAATCCAATTAATGCATATATCTTAGAAGCGTTGAGTTTCATCTAAGAAAAATTCACATACGTTAATTAATGGAAAGCTTATGTAAAAAAATTGGGAACCTACCGCGGTCCTAAAAGAGAGAAGGCTACTGCACTGTGGTTGTTTTAAAGAAAAGTGCCACTGATATCGATAATCCGCCAGTCTGCTGGTAGGTCGGTATGGATTTCAGATCGATCAGTAGATGAGCCGATTCGGTCTCGTCTACTCACGAGAGGATTATCACAAGTGACACCCATCGTTTGAACCAGGACTCGGTGTGAGATAGGACAGTCCCATTCCATTCCGTCTTATGGAACAAACGTCTTTTACAATAATCTTTTTTTTTTTATTAAAAACAACTCAATTGTTGCGAAATAGATGTCTTTCTCGTTGGAATGCGAATTTGGTTATGATAAAACTATGAAATGATATAACATTTGGTAGTATTAATGAACACGATAGCAGTATTCAGAAATTTTTTTTTTTGAAATTTGAAGAACGTGAAGTTCCATGAGACGATTTTTTTCGTCCATCCCATCCTACGTGGGTGCCTTGGTTTGAACTGATATTGCACCCGCAGACAGGTCTTAGTGAGACTAGCAAACATCTAAAAGGGTTCGTGCCAGTGAGCCTTTGCCGATAAGTTATGATCGATTTAATAAGTTTTTCGATTCATTTGTAGATGGTTCGTAAAAAAATCAAGTGACCATATTTCGATCTCAGATTTTGCTTATGCGAAGGTCTAATAACTCTTAGAATATTCTGAAAGTTTTAGCTGAAAAGAATATTCCTTCGTCAAGATATAGAACTTCCAAAAATAATCCTGTGTCACAAATATCATGTTCACTTGAAAATTTAATAACCCGACGAAGGAACATTCTTTTCGCCTGAAATTTGTAAAATATTCTAAGAGTCATTATACCTATCTGTAGTCAAAGTTTTGGATCAAAACTCCATTAATCGATCTTTCGAGGTGTCCTGAAAAATGAATAAAAAACAATAAACCGGTCATAACTTGATGTCAAGGGTCAATGAGGACGAATCTTTTTAGGTTTTTGATATTTTCGCTAAGACCTGTCTGTGAGTCCAATATGACCTCAAACGTTTGGTGCCACTTAGGACAATTCACTTATTAGAAATATGCAACAGAATGGCATAAATATGATAAAAAATAAATACATAGCAAAAGACGATTTTAATACAAATAAAAGGTATTGTAAAGAATGCGTCCTCGAACTGTTTGTTTGTATTTGTAGTGAAAAGAAAAAAATGTGTTCCGACGCAATTTTTTTGCAATATGTTTTTGAATCAATATTTTGTTGATAGTACTTCTCTCATGCAAGAGAAAAATTACATTTTATGTTAAACTGAATAAACATTATTTGCCAATTTTTCATTCACAAATATTAAATCAATATTCATATGTAATCATTCTATATTCAAATTTTGGCATTTTTATTCATAAATGAATTTTATTGTTGACTCCAGAAGAGGGCTCTAGTATTCATAGAAGGTTTTTCTTTTGAGCAACCGTCGATTGGTTAAATGCACTGCTGTATATTTCTTTTCCTTTTTCTTCTTTATCTTTCAGCATCTTTTTTTTTTAAATTCTCTTACTTGTTTATTACTTTTCTTTTTCTTTTTTTTCTCTACGTTAGTTTCCATTTACAAAAGATAAAAAAAAGAAATACATTTATATACACATACACATACATAAACATTGTCTTCCGACATTTTACTTATCATCAATAGTACAATCTGTTGAAATATTTATAATGACTGACGACTTACAAGATGCCGAAGGTGTTGATATTGGTATGAAAATTAATTTCTTCTTGTTGTTTTTTTTTTTTGTGACATTAAAATTTATTTTTAATTAGGTAAAAAACATAAACTAGGACATTTACGTGTTGATACTCAAGGAAATGCAACATTTAAACGTTTACCAACTAATCAACTTGTTGAAGCACTTCAATTAGGTATTCAATATAGTGTTGGTGGTTTAGAAGCAACACCAGCACATGATGTACTTTATCAAGATTTTCTTACTGTTGAAATAATACATTTTCCAAAGTAATAAAAAAATAAGAATTTTATTTGTGAATAAAAAAAAAAGTTTGTTGTTTTTTCTTTTTTTCATACAGAGGTGGAAGAACAACACCAAAAGCAACACCACCACATCGTTTTAATGATTTTACAATTCGTTCATATGCACCTGTTGCATTTCGACATTTTCGAGAAAAATTTAATATTAAACCAGAAGATTATTTAGTAAAGATTTTAAAATAATTTTTAATAATTATTTTTTTTTTTTTTTTTGTAGTCTTCAATATGTAAACCTTTTCGTGAATTAAAAAATCCTGGTGCAAGTGGAAGTTTATTTTATTTAACATCAGATGATGAATTTATTATAAAAACAGTACAAAAAAGAGAAGCAGAATTTTTAAAAACTCTTCTTCCTGGTTATTATATGGTTATTATTTATAGATTATTCTATATTGAATTGAATTTAATCTGTTGTTTTTTTTTCTTATTTTAGAATGTTACACAAAATCAACGTACACTTTTACCAAAATTTTTTGGTCTCTATTGTTATCAAGTATGATTAAAATTTTCTTTTTTTTTTTTTTTTTTCGTTAGATAAATTATCTTGCAAAAACTTCGAGAATCCAAAAAAAAAAAGAATAAGAAGTAAAGATTGAATGAATAGAAAGTGGTATTTATATCTATCTAGGTCACAGAATTTTTAAGAAGAAATAAAAATGGGTCTGTAAGTGAATTTACATACTTATTAGAAGATTTTTTTCTAGCTCATTGATTATGTCTTCGTGTGAGTGTGTGTTCATGAAAAAAAAAATAAGCAATCATATAAGAAAAACTATTGGGCTGCTCTATTTCTTCTTCTATTGTCGTTCTGTTTTGCTAGTCAATGTATCTCTTTGAAAAAGAGTCTATTTTGATGAATAGTACTGACAAAAAAAAATTTTCTTTGCTTCCTTGAAACGGAAGCTTGACTTTTATTTGTGTGTATATTCTGCTTTGTTCCTTTCTCTTTAGCTAAATGAATAATTTCTTAAAATAGAATTATTCTTTATTATATATTTATCTATATAGATGCATTTTTTTAGGGTGATAATAAAAATATTCGTATAACTGTTATGAATAATTTAATTCCATCTCATATTCAAATGCATGAAAAATATGATCTTAAAGGTTCAACATTCAAACGACGAGCAAATATTGAAGAACGACGTAAAGAATCTCCAACATGGAAAGATTTAGATTTTATGGAACATCATCCAAATGGTTTACTACTTGATTCCGATACATTTGCTGCTCTAGCAAAAACAGTTGAACGTGATTGTCGAGTCAGTTTAATAAAATACAAAAATTTGACTTTTCACTTTTTTTTTAATGATCTGTTATTTCTTTAGGTACTAGAAAGTTTTCATATTATGGATTATTCATTCCTGATTGGTGTCCATCATGCAAGTGTACATACAGATTCACCAAGAGTAAAACAAAAAATAAATTCTTTTTCATATAAATCATATTCTATGTATGTTCTCAGGAGCGTCGAGCTGAAAGCGGTGCATCAAATGGTAATTAGATTTTATTATTTTAGAATTTAACAAGAGAAAAAAAAATTTTTTGTTTTAAAGATTCAGCATTACCACCATCTGCACTACGTAGAATGTACTCAACACCAATGGCTAATATTCAAGCTGAATTTGAAGAACATAATAAACCTGATGATGATCATCTTGCTAAGTATGTACATTTATCGTTGACAAATAGGAATGCAAACAGTGACCATCAGTCTTAGGTAGAGCGCTACACTAGGCTAAACATGCACATCTAGAATATTCTTAGCCTATAAATACATGTTGAGATCAATGCAAATCTTTGTATTAGACCGATGAAGCGGAGCCTCAGAGATGCGGTGCATCGATGGACCAGTAGTACGGTGTACCCGTGAACGATGCCCCGTTGCATTCCTATTGACAGAATTTGGTATTAAAATGAGTATCAAGATTCGAAAGTAATCAGGCGACTCTTTCATTACTTAGGTTGATTCTTAATCCACATAACATTTGTTTTGTCTCACACCCTTATCCTATCTTGTTTTTGATTGATACAACAAGGTCAAAGAGATACGAACTTTTCTCAAGTATCTTCGAATCATATTGGATAGTTTTTCCTTGTTTTACTATTATTGATATATATGTAAACAAAGAAGATTTGTTTTTGTGTTGTCACTATAATACTAGACATATTGAATTTTAGAACTGGTGGTATTCCAGCATTAACAACTGATGGTCAAAGATTATATCTTTATGTTGGTATTATTGATATATTACAGTCATATCAATTACGAAAAAGACTTGAACATAGAGTCAAATCTGTTATTACAGATGGAGTTAGAAAAAAAAAACCATATATATAAACTTTATGAAAATTTTTGTCTTTTATATTTAATTTAGTCACAAATATCCGTCACACATCCAAGTTATTATTCTGAACGATTTCAAAAATTTCTTTTTAATACTGTATTTAGAAAACCATCACGTATGTATTGTAGAATAGTTTTATTATTTAATAAAAAAATATATATATATAATTTAATTTTCTTTTAAACAAAAATCTTTTTTGTTTTCTTTCTAGCACGACTATCAAAATCAGGTACAATAATAGGACTAAAACAAACAGCAAATAATTATTATACAAATGCACCATCGAATCAGACGTATGAAATCAATTCTTTTTTTTGTTTTTGTTTGATTAACAAAAATATAAATTACAAGGAAGAAACAGCGGATTTGGGATTTTACAGATTCTAGCATCCAAAGAAGATTTTTTGGGATTTTTGAGATTTTTTGAGATTTTTCGGAGTTTTTCGGATTTTTTGAGATTTTTTCGGATTTTTTGAGATTTTTTCGGTTTTTTTTAGATTTTTTCGGATTTTTTGAGATTTTTTCGGATTTTTTTAGATTTTTTCGGATTTTTTCGGATTTTTTTAGATTTTTTCGGATGTTTTGAGATTTTTTCGGATTTTTTTAGATTTTTTCGGATTTTTTGAGATTTTTTCGGATTTTTTCGGATTTTTTAGATTTTTTCGGATGTTTTGAGATTTTTTCGGATTTTTTGAGATTTTTTCGGATTTTTTCGGATTTTTTAGATTTTTTCGGATGTTTTGAGATTTTTTCGGATTTGTTTAGATTTTTTCGGATGTTTTGAGATTTTTTCGGATTTTTTTAGATTTTTTCGGATTTTTTGAGATTTTTTCGGATGTTTTGAGATTTTTTCGGATTTTTTTAGATTTATTCGGATTTAAAATCCAAAAAAATCCGCTTTTTCCCCCTTGATAAATTATCATATATGCTCTCTTTTTTTCTCTTTTTTCAATTTAGTTCATCGATAAAATCATTGAATGGTATATCTTATTCTATTCCATCGAAATCAGTTCATTCAAGTTCAAGTTCAAGTGCAGAAACAACAAATAGTCATTCAATACCGAATGGTACATCAAGACAAAGTGATCAACGAACTATTCATGGAAGTTCAACAACATTTTATGCTAGTTCACATCAATCAGATTCTTTATATAATGAACCAACATATAGAACATCAGGAAGAGTTTTAACAACAAAATTTGATAATAATCATACAAATATTTCAAGAATGAAATTTTATCGAGATTTATCAACACCACCAGTTATTGATGTCGAAAAACGTCGCAATTTATTAACAAATGATAGAAATGTTGGAAAAAAATTCTCACCATCTACTACTAATTTATCATATCGTAAGAATTTTATTTTTATTAGAAAAAATATACTTTCAACACTCTTTATAAATTTTCGGAATACAAGAATGTGTATAGATCTCTTATAAGAGAATTTGCTCAACTGTCCCATCGCTGTTTGCTAGAGATTATTGCCACTTAATTGGCCATGATAAATAATAAAAAAGTATAATTTTTCGATCTTCGCTTGTCGCATTGAACTGCTGAGAATCTGTATGATCGAATTTTTGTCCGCATACAGGTCTTACAATGATTTAAAACACCCGAAAATTTGAGCCATAATAAATATCTCCTTGCTAAAATATTTACGTTTTAATCAAACGTCTATTTTGAACTATGTTTCAGAAGAAAAACATTTTTATGACAAACTTAATACCTTTGTTTTATCTTAACGTTTAGACTATTTCTAGTAGAATCCCATGGTTTCAAGTAAATTGGAACTAGAATGTAAATACTGTACCATTCGTGTATTTAATTATCTTAAACTAGAGATATCAATCTGTGGCTATGCCATCAGTCTTGCTTCATCAACAAACTCGATCTGTTTCTGATGATTTGATAGAATGAGATGTCCGTGATGGCAAAAACAATTAATGCTAAGACATCTGATTGGTTTGTTTGTTCTTATATGAATTCAATACGAATAAATTTTCTATTGATTTATTACATTGAATTTTAATCTTTATAAGAAATAACTTATTTATTTGTATTTTGAAAAAGGACTGAAAAACAATTTATACATTCATTAAAATGAATTCTGTTTTTTTATTAACGAAATAAAATAAAGTACTGGAGAAAGTTTAATAGCAATGTTTTTCTTTTTTTTCTATAATGATAAGCAATTAGTTCAAATTCAAAAAATGATTTTAATAGCCAAGAGAATTTTGCATTTCATACGAAGATTTCTAAACAATCGGACATGGTAGTTTTCAGATATCAGAAAACTAACTTTTAACAAATACCATTTTAAAGAACACAAAATGAAGGATCATCGCATTTTCTAGGGCCTCCCTTCAAAAAAACAAAAAAAGCGACTCATCGTTTTGTACTCTTTAAAATGGTATTATTAAAAAGTAGTCTTCCGGAATCTAGAAACCTTTCCATGACAGTTCATCTATGAAATGTATTATAGGAAAACCATCAAAAATATGTTATTGTAGATATTTCTAGAGAAGAAATATTAGTTATTTTGTATACGATTACTATATTAACGGTTTCAAAGACACTTTGTAGAAACTGATGAATAGGAATAGAATTTTGATAAGTGTCTGACAGATTTGAAATTATGATGTCTAGGGAATAGACAAGAAAATTTCTTCTTGAATTTAATTAATTTTATTAGTAAACTGGAAAATATTTCTTGAAGACAAAATTCTATTAAAGTTTAAATAAAATCTGATTCGAAAAGGTATCCTATCCCAAAAAACAAAAAAACACGGACAAAAATTTATTAATTCATTTACTTTATTTGGATAGGAAATAGTAACATGAATGACGTTCTTGACACTTTATTCATATTTATTAGTCTGACATCACTTAACTAACATTAGATACAACATACTACAAGGTTAACTTGTACGAGACAGTCTAATTATAGTCATAGAGTTTGATGTATTATTGTTTATATTGATTAAAATAGATCAATATTGAAATATGACAGTCATTTATTGCGAAGGTTTCAGTTAATTATTCATAAGTATTAGTAAATATTTGCAAATATAGATCTAATTTTTATCAATATGTAGTAGAGCTCTTTGAGTTATATTCATGGACATCCAAAACAAAAAAGAAAATCTACGAAACATTAGCTACTGGATCATTTATCTGAATAATTTTTTCTCTTGGAAGAAATTTACTAGTTTTTAGATATTTCTATATAAGCAAATAAAAATAGTGGTTATTTTCCGAAAGTAATCATACTCAAAAGAAAATAATGTCTAAAATATCTTTATTTAGAGTTCGTCAAGTGCCTGCATACTGTAGGAAACATGTGTTTCATGCAAATAATCTTATTTCCTTTTGAAAAGAATGAAAAACAGATATTTTGACTGTATTCTCATGAGCATAACTCAGAAATCTCTACCGGTTAGTAAGATCATCAGATTTATGTTTGCTTTTTTTTGTATTTATTGTAGAATTCGTATAATTTACTTATTTCTTTATATTTGTCTTATTCAATTTAATTAGAAAGCAAATCGATTGATTTATTCTGTCTAAAAATAAATTGATTTTGATGATAATAATATTTTGATTAATTATATATTCTAATTTTAGGCAGCAATTTATCAGAATATTCTTCAGAACATCATCAACAAAATCATCAATCATCAGAGGAAATTGTATGTATTAGAATATAATTATATTTCTATATTTATTTTCCTGATAATATCAAAATAGACAGGTTGATACACATAAAATTTTCTTCTATTCTTTAGACTCGACTTTGATATATGAACAAACTTATAATACAAAAATTACTCTTTTTTTTTTGTTATAAACAAAAAAAACTTTAATCGTACCAATTGAATTTGTTTCTTTTTTCTTCTAATTTATAATGTATATTAGTATTTGTATGTGTCAAAACTTTTATTGTATTCTTCAATAAGATTATTTTTTTTTTGTTCATCGACATACAATAACAATAAAAAAAAACAACGCATTAAATTCAAACTTACGTTTTAATCCCGGTGTTTTTCTATGAAAAGATAAATTTTAATTTTACGTACGCCACAAGTTTTTCTTTTGTCTTTTTGTTTGTTTTTTTTTTTTTCTATTTATTATGAATGTGACTTTTTTTCTAATTTATGTGTTCCGCTTTTGATATTACGCTTGTTGTTTTTTTTGTTGTTTATTTAAATATTTAATTTTATTTTCAAATAAAATTTAAATGAATTAAAGATTGTAATCGATGTTTTCTTCTTTTTTTTTTTGGAAATATTTAGGAAGAATATGTAGTAGAACAGCATTTCTTGTCTCCTGATGATTGTCGTCGAATGAATTAAAAAATACTTGAAATTTAATTATGGACGAATCTTAATAAAATCAACGGGTAACCTATGATAATCTTCGAAAACAAAAAAAACAAAGAACTAATTAAAATGGAATTTGTTGTCAACAAATATAATGTAATTAGTGTAGATTACTAATCTAAAAAGTAGAAAATTGATATAATCTTCTAAATTTCAAAGGCAAACAACTTGTCTAATTATTAACTAAAGAGAAAATGTTTTCCATTGATTAATCGCTTTTAAATTCGGACTCTACGCATAAAGCAGTAGACTCCATTAAAATATGAAAAATCTCAAAAGAATAAGTTCGCTTAGATCTTTTTGTTCAGGATTGTAGGCATTTTACTAGAGATTTTTAACCTTTGGCTTGGTATATATATATATGAACAAATCGAATGATGGTATTTCGACCTAAGATTTTGCTTACAGACAGGTCTATTTGTCGGTCCTGAAAATTTCGAATGTTTCCTTTTCTAGGTATTAAAGTGCCTGAAATCCTTCGTATTTCATGAAAGATGCTAGATATTCTGTTTTTTTGGTACTTTGTTATCTCAGGAAGAAAACATTCTTTTGAGCTGAAATTTTCAGGACATTCTACTGATAAATAGACTTGCCTGTAGGCAAAATTTTAGGTCAAAATACCATCATTCGATTTGCTTGTATATATCAAACTAGAGGCTAAAACTCTAGACAAAACGTCTAAGTGGATTTATTCTTTTGAGGTTTTTCATAGTTCACTGGAATCTAATAGCTTATGCATAGAGTCCAACTTCAAAAGCGATTGTTCAGTTAAAAACGTTATTTTGGAAAATGAATGATATCATTTTAAAACTTATAAATTACTAAGCAGTTATCATGCTTAATATTTAAAAAAAGAACCAATTGTGTAATTTTAGGTTTAGTATCAAATATTAGAAGAACAATATTGACTTTGCATTAAATATCAAATATAAAGTAAACTTTCAATTGTTAAGCAATTGAAAGTCTTATATAAATATTTTTTTTTGTTACTTTAAAATAAGATATTTATTACATAACAATACTATCATCGATTTATGAAATCGAAACATGTGACATTTTCGAAGGTCGAAGAAATTCTTAACATTACTCGGTAGACAATCTTCTATCTAGTATGGAAGCTAAACGAGTGGTGAACCTCTGAAAATAGGTGTTTATCCTTCTGAAATTTTGAATCATGCCTCCGGAAGAAAAACATCTAGATAAAAGAAATTTCTATTTATCATTCTTCTATTCTACTGACCAAAAATAAACGATATATTTAATTTTTTACTATCTATCTTACAGATACTCAATTTATTCTAAAAGTTTAATGAAAAATTACACTACGAAAACTACACGTAAGGTATATTTTTATGAACTTTTCCAACTAAATTAAATATTTAGGATAAAAAAAAACCTAAGATATATGCATAGAATCGTAGATTCCTTATCAAAATGAAATATTTCAAGAATAAAACAATCATAATAAAAAAAAATACTCCCTCGACATTTTTGTTAAAATATATAATAGGAATAGATATATTAAAAAGAAAACAAACGAAAAATTGTACGATTTTCTTTCATTTTTTAAAATGTTCGACGTATAGAAATATATGAATGAACCTTCACAAGTAATTACAGTCATTTTCACCTTGGCCTTCGAATTGTACAATGAAAAGTCGTTTTTATTAAGTAAGAAGCAAAACGAAATATAGTATATGTATAAATGTATATGTACATGCATACTTATATATTATTCACTCTTGATTTGATTGCATTTATATGACGCACACCTATAACGAATCTTGTTTCATTAAGATCTACTTTTTTTTTTCGTTCTGGAAGAAAAATAGATAGACAAGAAAAAAAGAAAGAAAAAAAGAATCTTTTCTTTTTTTTTCCTGTCTTTCATAATTACCCGCTTTCGACTATAAAGGAAAAAAAAGAAACATGTCGATTAGTACAATCAACTTGCCTGTCACGAATATAATACGTTTATAAGTATTCGCGTAACAAATGTTATCTGTTTTTTAACCAACAAAAAAAAAAAATACATATATTATTTATTATAGATTTTTTTTTTTTTCTTATTCTTTAATGTTGTTTTTTTTACATGATACATAATGACGGCTACTGAACAACGTACAATGGATTTATTTCATCATAATCATCATAATCATCAAACATCATCAACTGTATCATGTATATCATCAAATGTTGGTTCAATAACAGATTTTCTTTTTACTTCCGAACATTCCTCATTAAATAATGAACAACAAATATTAGAAAATAGTAAACAAGAAGATATATCAGTAAGATTTTATAAAAACAAAAAAGAAAAAAGAATCTGTTTTTTTTTTGTTAGATATTGGAAAACGTTTCTGAACCAACAAATGAATCAAATACATTGAGTAATAAAGAAAAAATAGGTCATCGTCGTGTTGATGAAACAGGAAATATAACATATAAACGTGTTATGGTTGATGATCTTATGAAATCATTACAAATTGGTCTTAATTATGTTCTTGGTAAACAGCATCAACCACAACGTCAAGTACTTTATCAAGATTTTCAACAAATTGAATATCAAGATTTTCCACCGTAAGAGAACTTCTTTTTGTTTTTTTGATTTCTATTTATTTAACTAATTAATTGATAAGAACAAAAACAAAAAGCAAAAAAAAACTGTGTTTGATTTCATGATGACGTCGAGGGAAAAGAAATATGCCGTATATTTTCACCAGGGCACAATGATATTTATAGGTCGAAGAATATTTAAATATATACAATTATCATAAGGGGACATTCGGTTTAAAGAAATCTTTTGTCTTTTTCTTAATATTAAAATTTAAATCTAATAAAGCAAAGATAAAGTTAATCCGTAAGATCTCGGGTATTTATAGAGAATACGGGAGGTATAGGTTCATGTTTTTTCAGACTCAACAAAAACTTAAATTTAGATGTTTGACTTGGAAGCTAATAGATCTAAACCGAGTTTTTTTTTTCATCGATATTCGAGCACTGTATGTGCGTAGCTTCCAAATTGCGAACAAAAATTAAGCCAATTAAGAAAAAAGTGTTCGCAATTTGGAACATAGAAAATAACGTTGATCTTATTTTTATTGCGTTTTCAAAGTGCGAATACTTTTAATAATTACGTAATACAGTTTTAATTAGAAAAAAATTTATTAACAACAGAAATACAACAAAAGAACCTATTCCTCATCACTACTATCTTCGGCATCTTGTATAAGATCTGTATAACGATGAGAAATAGATCTTAGAGCTTTTTGATAAGCATGAAAATCATTATCTTGAATATATATTTGATTTGATAATTGTATTGTCTTTTAAAGTTATAGTACGAGAACAAGATTTGAAAGTACATATATACACAAATGAACCATTCTTATTTTCACGTCTCAACCCATATAAATGATTATTATATAAGATAGCCTTTTCAACTCTTACAGTTGTTGACCAAGTAAAATTTGTAACCATACTTTAAATTATGATACTATTCTTATTCTCAAACTTCTATATTTATATTATTAATAAAATTGAACTCATAGTCAGCTATTGCAATCACTAATTAATCAAAGTGTTCGCAATTTGGAAACGCAATAAAAATAAGATCAACGTTATTTTCTGTGTTCCAAATTGCGAACACTTTTTTTCTTAATTGGCTTAATTTTTGTTCGCAATTTGGACGTAGCCCTGTATGTGTATATGACTAAGTGAAGGATCAATTTTTTTTCGTTATTGACTTCATTTTGTGTTCTACATATTTGAACTAAAGAATCAAAAAAGAGAAAACCTGTTTTTTGAGATAATATTTTATAAAATCTTTAGAATTTTATTATTCATACACAAAAATATTTATCTAATAAATAAATTTCTTATGTTTATTTTATTTAGAGAAGGTACAAGATTAACTCCTAAACATTCATATGCTGAATTTCGTTTAAAAACTTATGCACAAACAGCATTTCGTTTTTTTCGTAATGCATTTGGAGTTGATCCATTTTCATTTATGGTAAGTTAATAATCAAAAATAATTTAAAAAAAAAAAAAGACATTTTATTTTCTTTTTGTTATATTCTAGTTATCACTTTGTGGTAAAGATTTACGTGATTTACCAAATCCAGGTGCAAGTGGTTCTATATTTTATATAACAGCTGATGATGCATATATAATAAAAACAGTATCAAGAAAAGAAGCACGATTTTTACTTGGTCTTTTACCGGGTTATTATATGAATTTAACACAAAATCCTTTTACATTATTACCAAAATTTTTTGGTCTTTTTTGTTATCAAAGTTCAAATAAAAATATACGTTTTGTTATTATGAATAATTTAATACCAACAAATGTTAAATTAAGTGAAAAATATGATTTAAAAGGTTCAATTTATAAACGAAAAGCATCTGAAGAAGAACATAAACGTGAATTACCAACATTAAAAGATAATGATTATAAATATCAACATCCACATGGTTTAATACTTGAATCATTTTTCTATGATCAATTAATGCAAACAATTGAAGATGATGTTCGAGTAAATAAAATTTTTATGTACAATAAATTTTTCATATTCTAATGAATATAAGATTTTAAATTTAGAAATAATTCAAATGAAAAATTTTTCATATAACATTCAGTTTCATTTTGAATTGTCTCGTTCTTAGATATCGACTATAACTCTTCATAGATACGAATCTTATATGCGTTTCTTAACCCTAGTACTACCAGCATGGGTCATTTTTGATCCGTACTCAAAAATTCGTATTTCTCCGAATATGATCGTATATCTCCGTATACGGTCACGTCAATATTCGATCATAATACTGGACCATGTAAACTGTTAAAATACGACCATTTACAGACGTATACGAAGTCCGTAATCGTCGACCTGGAAATCTCATTATAACATTGAATAGAGCTCGTCGAGTTGTACTTGGAACAAGAATAGGAACTTTGAAACATATTCCTAGAAGAATCTTGTGCTAACTTCACCTATGTTCAGTATACAACAAATATATAATAAGTTAAATTTGCAATCCATTAAAAAGCATTGTTTTTGAGTTATCCACTTAGGATAGTAGACAAATTAAACTTGCAGAGACAAAATAAAATTTCAACTACATGTTATAATTGTTCGGAATTTGTTTGTAACGAATATTCTGTAAAACACATTTTTTTGTATTACTTGTTCGAAATAATGAAGGAGTAAAAAAAATCAATTTATGAAAATATATATTGTTAGTATAGTACTTAAATAGGGCTGGTAGTACTCGGGTTAATCTCACCATAAACTAGTCGTAGTGGGAAAATGACTTTTCGTCTCACTTTTTCATTACGATCTCCGGACATTAGAAAAAAGGTTGGACGTTCGGAATGGAGTTCTCAATACTAAAAATCAATGAAATGTGACAAAAAACAGAATGTTTGGAGTGAAATTTGTCCAGGAGTTCGTGACAGACTCTGACAATCTATTGTTAGTGGTTAAACAGCGAAATTTTGACTAGACATCGGAATGAGAAAGTTCGGAAATTCGTAATGACAAAGACAGAATGGTCGTAATGAAAACTTCCGAACACTCTCTCACACCATTCAGATTTTCCTACTTTTCTATTACGATCTCCCGTACAAAAATGTTTACGAACTCCGTTCATAAATCTTTAAGAACAAAAATTCATTTCCGAATACTCGGATACCTGTTCTGAGTTCGAAATGACTTGAGACGAAAAGTACGTTCACCCAACTCAGCACTCGAAGCAGGGGCAGAGGTGCAGAGTAGTTGATTCCTAGAAAAAGGACCATTGTGTGGATGAATTTTAGGAGCAGGGAGGTTTTATGTCGCACACGCTTCCTACCATGAATTACGCTTCTGAAAATAGATTTTACTCTAAAAGGAGTAGAAATTCAGACTTTCTACAGACTGTATATCAATAACATCTCGTTATAATCTATGAATTACTTCCTTATTACATTCTCTTCTGGATGATTTTCTCAAATCGATAGAATAAAACGATTTTTCCTATAATTAGCAACAATAACTGCATTGTATTTGATATTTTAATTATTCAGGGATTGTGCTAATAGTTTTCTTTTGTGCTAAGAATATATTTACAATAAAAGATTTATTTCTTTCAATAAAATAAAATATATTTTAGGTACTCGGTAGTTTTGATATAATGGATTATTCACTTCTATTGGCTATTCATAATATAACTGAAGAAATGAAATCAACACAAAATCATTCACTTATATCATCATTATCATCAAATGAAAATGAAAAATTAACATCGATACCAACCGATTCTGATATTGCTATGGCACAATTTTCTAATCATCCAACATATATACAATATTTACGTGTTATTGAATTTATTCGTGCACAACAAGAACATTCAGCTTTAAATACTAGACAATCATTATCAGATACACGTATTAATAATGTTGATACAGAAAGTATTAAAACAGTTAAAGAAAATTTATCACCAGTATTAAGTACAGTTACAAATAGAATATCTCAATCAAATGAAGAATCATCAAATTCTACAAATATTATATTTCATCCACAGAGTAAAGGTTTAATACATCATAAATTGAGTTCAGCATCAACATCTCATTTAACTGATGGTTTAATTGGTGATGATGTTTGGTACAATCGACAAAGTCTTTCACGTCTTGCAATGTATGTTTTCCTTTTTTTTTTTTTTTTTATTTAAATTAAAAAATTTCTAGTAGTGAAATAAATATTATCACATAATTTAGTTTGAAATTAAAAGCTTTAAAATTTAAGAGACATCATAGATAGAGATATAAGCCAATGTATTGATCGACTGAATCACTTGATCATTGGGGCTCAGAGAATTTTTTCTAAAAATCAAGGGCTTACACGTCTAATTATAGATTCTAATAAAAAACAAAAAATGTTTTTGTCTATTTATTATTAAAATATTTTTGTAAAATAATATTTGCTACAATTTCAAGAAATTAATTTATGTTTACTTTTATAATAGGGCTGGTATACCAGCTGTGAATCAAAACGGTGATTTATTATTATTATATGTTGGTGTTATTGATATTCTACAAAATTATCGTCTTCGTAAAAAATTAGAACATGTATTTAAATCAACATTAGTAACTAGGGTATAATTAAACGAACAAAAAAAAAAAAAAACGAATTTTTACATTCAACAAAAAAAAATATTTTTTTGTATAGGAAGAAATATCTGTTTGTAATCCAAGTCATTATGGTGCTCGATTTGTCAGATTTCTTTCACATAAAGTATTCCGTAAAGGTATGTATTTTTCCTAAATAAACTACATCATCTAATAACGAATTGCACTAGTATAAATAATACAATTAATGGAAAAATGCTTTGTCCTATATATGTCAAGAAGAAATAGAAATCTATCTATCCATCATGATGTCTGTGTGTATATTCTTTTCAAAAAAAAAAAAAGAAATCGTTTGTTTTTGCAATCAGAAACTACTAGACAGTTGTTACTCAGTACAAAGAGAAATCGACATCTGATCAAAAAAAAAATATATACATCTCATACTATACTTGTGAAGTTAGAAATAATTGAAGGATTTTGATTTTTGGTAAATTATGCATTACTTCTTATGTAAATGAATTTAAGGAACATCTACTATTTGTTTAATAAACCATCTCTTCTTGACTTTCTAAGGAAGGTATCATTTGCCTAGGTGTTTTTTTTTCTAAGAAAGCAAGGCCCTATGAAATTCTAAGTTGTAAATAATTATACATTTGACTTTTTTTTGTTTTGTTTTAGGAAGTCGAACTGGAAACACTTTATTATCTGATAGTCAGTCAAATATAGATCGCGTTACTTTTCATAGTAGCAGGTAAGAATATTTTTCTTTTTTTAATTTATCTATTAAATAAAATTTAATTTAGATTATTAAATCCATCTTCATCAAATCGTTCACAATTAAGTGATGATAATTCATCAATAACCAACGATAACAAAAACGAAATGCATCGTATAAAATCTTGATTAAAATATATGCATATATATATTTATTTATTATTATTTTTTTTTTTTCATTTGTCTTTCTATGAATAACAATGATCTCTTCAATAATTGTTTTTCTTTTTTTATATTAAAAATCAAGATAAAACAAATCATGCATGAAATGTTTTTCTTTTCTTCTGAACTGTTATGCATTCATATGTAAATTTATATTAAAAATAAGAACAAAGCCAAAAGAAGAAAAATAAAAAAAAGAATTTGTTTAAATAAATAAAAGATAAAATCTTTTTCTCAGATATTTAAATATAAAATGATTCTACTACGAAAAATTATCAAACCAACAATTCATATTCGATTCGCTAGTCGGTATGTTAATGTCTATCGAAAGAAAAAAAAACATACGAATACTTCTTATTTAGTATATCATTTCGAATTAATGAATTAGCACGATTCAGTGATGGAAGTGCAATAGCTCAAGTGACTATTTTTCGCAAAAAAAAAAATTTCTATAACATATTTCTTTATATTATATAGTTAAATAACACAAGTGTACTTGTGACAAGTGTTAGTAAAACTAAAACATTATCATCATCAAGTCAACCATCATTTTTACCATTAACTGTAAAACGAATAAAAATTTTTTTTTTCGTTATGTTTCTTTTTTTTTGTTTTGTATTCTTAGGTTGATTATCGAGAAAAAGCAGCAGCAGCTGGTCGAATACCAACAAATTATTTACGAAAAGAATTAGGTTTAACTGATCATGAAATTTTAACTGGACGCATGATCGGTAGGATAAAAATAAAATACACCTATGAATTGTATTATATTATTAATTATTTAGATCGTTCAATAAGACCTTTATTTTTAAATGGATATGTCTATGATACACAAGTAAAGGGTGTTTCATAAGTTCTACAGCTTAGAGAAAATTTGTTTATATATAAATGAAGAGTAATCTCTACCCAACTATATCTATATGAACTTCGAGTACTTACGACGATATTTTAAATGGTATATTATCCGATGATAATATCTCTTTTAATAAGATAGTAATCTCCTGATCTACGCAAGGCCGACATTCTTAGTTTGTTTCGTTCGAGAGTTATAATATCTTTCCTGAGACTTCGCGATTTCAGCCAATTGACCTGTGATCACTCGGAAAAGCAGTTAGGCAGGGGTAATTTACCATGCTGAATCGAATGATGATATTTTCCAAATGTCGACTCCTTTGTTATACGGAGGTTGATTGTCGAATTTCAGAAATATTGTGATAAACTAATTAGATCAGTTCGAACGTCAAACAGATATCATCATTGAACTTAGCGTGATGAATTTCTTCTGTCTAGCTGCTTTTCCACGTGATCACGGGTCAATTCACTGAAATCGATGGATTTCAGGAAAGACATTCTAAGTCTCGAATAGAACAAGCTAGAAATATCGGCCCTGGGTAGATCGAAAGAAAAATATCATTTTCAAAAATCTCTTTCAAGGACTCCTCTGATTAGTTAACTTCTGACCATTCAAATTTCGATACACTTCCATCAGCTCCGGGTCTTCTTTCTTCAATGGTGAAAACCTCAGGTCTCTACGATATGTCTATCAAAACTTATTGAAAAAAAAACATTGAAGCACATTGTATTTTGAAATGGATAGTACGGATCGCCTTGTGTAATTGTGTCACGTTACTAGAGCCCATCGAGTTCAAGAATTTGTGAGTCTGGATCCGATCGACACAAAATTTTCAGAGCCGAACCCGACCGGATCCGAGCAAGACCCAATGGTAGAGCGCTTCATCGAGTCCAAAAACGACTTGCTGGATCCGGTCAAAGAAATGTCAACCGTTTCGTCATTTTTTGTGCTAATACGTTATTCAAACGTTCATTCTGTAGGGAAATACTTTCTCTTTCACTTCATCTATTTAGAGAAACATTAGAATTCATGATGGTCAAAAGTTTTTACAAGAAAAATGCCGGATCCAAGTTTGGACTCGGACTTTCTTTATTAAAAAATTTCGGTTATGAAAGACTCTAATGCTTCTCTAAATAAATGAGGTAAAAGAGAAAGTATTTCCCTACAATATGAACGTTTGAATAATGCATTAGCATAAAAAATGACGGAACGGCTGACATTTTTTTGACCAGATCCAGCAAGTCATTTTTGGACCCGATGAAGGGCTCTATCCGATAGGCTCCACATGTTACATACAATGAGTTCATAATTCATTAAAAATTCTTATTTGCATTTATAACATCGTTCTATGTACTCGAAACTCACGTAGATATAATTGAATAGGAATCACTCTTTGTTTACGAATAAACTAATTTTTATAAAGACCTATTAACTTATGAAACACCGTTTATGATTATTAATAAATTATTTTTTATTAATAGGTTACTTGTAATATATTGTCTGTAGATGGTATGATAGAACCTGATGTATTAGCAATCAATGCAGGTATGAAAGAACTTAATACGGAATGTAAAACGTTGTCTTATGAATGCTGAAGGAATCCATGAGCAATCAAAAAAGTACTGAAGTTATATAGAGACCTCTTCCTCACCCTTGCCATCAGCTTCCAATATCACACAAATATCTGTGTGGGATTACTGAAACTTTACTTTCAATAATAGAACACTGAATTGACTTTAGTTAAGTCTAAAGCTCTTAAAGTAGGATTAATCAGGGATTTAAGTCATTTTTCTTAGAAACCTTAAATATTGTTTCATTTAGCTTCTGCATCATTAGCAACATCTGATATTCCTTGGAATGGACCGATTGGTAAGCTTATTGTTTTTTTTTTGAGTGAATTTATTTCAATTTATTAATTTTTGTATTAGCTGCTGTTCGTATTGGTTCTATCGATGGAAAATTTATTGCTAATCCTACTCGTCAACAAATGCAAAAAAGTGATCTTAATCTAGTCGTATCAGTTAATCCTAAAGGACGTCTTGGTAAAACAAAACAAAACAAAATCTAAAAATTAATTCTTTTTGTTTTATGTGTTTAGTAATGATTGATGCATCAGCAAATCGTTTATCAGATGAAAAATTTTTTTCTGCACTTGAATTTAGTATTGAATGTTGTCTACCTATAATTGATCAAATAAAACAACTTTCAAATAAAACAAAACGTACAAATATTGAATTACAAAAATTTGATAATTTATTAATGGAAAAAATTTCAATATTATCTTATGATCGTCTTGTAAAAATTTTTACTGATTCTACACTTGATAAAATTGCTCGTGATACAGCAATTACAACATTACGTCAAGATATTCTTAATGAATTATTATTAAATGAAGAAATTTCAATAAATAATATATCAGATATATTTTCATATGTTGTTAAAAAAATATTTCGTAATTTAATATTTGAAAAATCACATCGATGTGATGGTCGTTTATTTAATCAATTACGTAAAATTAATTGTAATATTAATTTATATGAACCATTACATGGTTCAGCTTTATTTCAACGTGGTCAAACACAAGTTTTATGTACAGTTGCATTTGATGCACTTGATTCACAATATCGTTCTAATGATTTTATATGGAGAACTGGACATAAACGTAAACCATTTATTCTTCATTATGAATTTCCACCTTATGCAATAAATGAAATTGGTCGAACATATGGAAGAGCTGATCGAAGAGAATTAGGTCATGGTGCTTTAGCAGAAAAAGCTGTTGAACCAATTGTACCAAATGAAGTTCCATTTTTGATTCGATTAACATCAGAAGTATTAGAATCGAATGGATCGTCATCAATGGCAAGTGTATGTGCTGCAAGTTTAGCACTTATGGATGCAGGTAAAATAAGATTTTTATTTAGAATATTAATGAAAATTAACATGTCAGTTTGTTAATATAAAAATTGATTTCGACTCGAGAAATAATTTTCTTTTGGTAACTTGGATTCGAACTTTGTCACAGTTGGAATAACATTCTAGAGTCTTATACACGACTCTACTAGAAAGTACAAAAAACTGTATCATTATTATTATTATTGACAAGTGAACTACACGAATTGATATCCGTTGTTTGAATCCACGAAGACGTCTTGATAAGACTATGAATAAAGTGATCCTAATTTGGCTCCACAGTCTCATAGGGACGAACGCCTCTAGACCAAGCCTTGAAACGGGTCACTCGGCCCGACGATTTTATCCTTTTTTTGACATCTGACTCACCCTTGAGAGGGATAGGCGGAACGTTTCTGCGCCACTCTTCCCTCCGGTCATCACTTTTTTCTAAAAGACGAAAAATATGCAATAGCTCTCCATTGAGTAAAAAAATCTTTGTAAAAGAAATTTTCTTCGGGCTTGGACCAGGCCATAAAAAAGTGGCCTGATTTTGAGGCCTGTTCTAGACTTTTACTAATATCATCAAGGCTAGGATTTTTTGAGAAAATAATGGTTTTCTATAAAGTTTGACGAAAGTAAATCGGAATTGGAGAATTCGAATCTGTAATAAATTCCTCGAAATTATATACTTGCTTTCATGGTCTACTCTCCTACAACAGCTTTTCCCGATGTGAAAAAATTTAGTATACAATTTTGAGAAACTAATTACAGATTCGAATTCTTCGATTTACTTTCGTCAACCCTTATAGAAAATCATTATTTTCTCAAAAAACCGTTTTCTTCGTGAAAAACTGATAACTGTTGCATCCTTAACGGTCCAATATAAGCTCAAGGTCAGATGGTTCTCTCTTTAGGAATTAATGTAAAGCATGAATAAAATAAACTGTTTACATGAGATCAAATACTGAAGTACAGGTTCTCAAGTTAATGTTACCGAAACTCAGATCCGTGAATTCCTGGTCAGAAAACTCAGAAAAATAGTCGAAACTTGAAAGCATGAATTCGGCTATAACCAAACAGTGCTGACCACTGAATTCATGTTTTCAACCGTTTTCCGGCTTGAAATTGAAAGTCTCTCGTATGATAAATAGGTGTACAAATCCATGAACCTGTTGCTGGTGTTGCTATTGGACTTGTTTCAAAATGTGCTGATGATGGTACAGTTACTGATTATCGTATATTAACTGATATTCTTGTAAATATTGTATTTTTGTTTACGAATTTCAAACTTATAACACATTTATGTTTTTGTTTAATAGGGTATTGAAGATTATATGGGTGATACAGATTTTAAAGTAGCTGGAACACGAAATAGTATAACTGCATTACAAGTATATTTTTGTATAAGGAAATTTGATTTGAAAATTTTCTTTATCTCTCTAGGCTGATATAAAAAATATGGAAGGATTACCATTAAATATTGTTCAAGATGCACTTCGAGCTGCACGAGGTTATATAAAATACACGTGTGTATTTTTTTTTGAATTTTTTTGAAAAATGTTTATTCTCTAGATGCTCGTTGTAAAATAATTGATATTATGAATAAAACTATAAGTGAATCACGAAAAACTAAAAAACAAAATACACCTGAATTAGAAACATTAACTATACCAGTTCATAAACGTGGTCGATTTCTTGGTGTTGGTGGTTTAAATTTAAAGAAAATTTTAACACAAACTGGTATTTACAAAAAAAATTGATCGAATTCTTTTTTTGTCATAAAAAAAAATTTCTTAAATTTAGGTGTAACAATATTACCAATTGATGAAATGACTTATTCTATATTTGCACCAAATAAAGATGCTTTAAATGAAGCTAAACAAATTATTGATAAACTTTTAGAAGACATGAAAGAACCAGAACTTGAATTCGGTGGAATTTATACGGGTAAAATTGTTGAAATACGTCCTAATGGTGTTCTTATACAATTATATCCAACAATGCCACCTGTTCTTTTACCAAATTCACAACTTGATCGACGAAAAGTAATACATACATTTCATTGAAAAGTAGTAGGATTGGCCCAACACAGCCAACATGCAGAGGAGGGTGTAAAAAAAAAAATTTTCGACTCTACTAGGAAAGGAAGAGTGCTTGATAGGAGGCCACCCTGATGTAGATTTCTGCGGTCAATTACATCCACTAGTCACAGGAGCAGGTGTATAGCACAACGTAATCAGCATGCTATCGAATGAGTGATCCGAGACATATAGCTGCTGGTAACTTGTCGAGAGGTTAATGAGATTCCGCTGGAAAGAAAACAAATATTTTTCATGACTGAGAGTCGGTTGTCACTTCTCCGATCGGATCAGTCCTGAAAAACAATATCCCAAATTTCATTCAATAGAAAATTGTTGTTTTCTTGGAAATTGAAAATATCTCTTGATTATGGAACGAGTAAAACAAAAAAGTGCTATGAAGACTATTTGGAATTTATTGAATGTACTAAAGGAAAGCTATAGAATTGAACGGTCAATCTTCATTCTCAACCAGCTAATTATCCTGATCGTAATTTCATTCATTTAATGATAAAATAAACATAGCAAAAATTTATAACGAAATTTCAAACTTAAAATCTACTGTCACAAACACATTTTTCCTATTCATGATTGTTAAAAATAAAAACATATAAATATTTGTTTTTTTTTCTTTATAGATTGATCATCCAAGTGTATTAGGTTTAAATGTTGGTGATGAATTACAAGTAAAATATTTTGGTCGTGATCCTGTATCAGGTACAATGCGTCTTTCACGAAAAATTCTACTCAATACTGGTAATATTGGTCCAGTACGAAATATGATTTCAACGGAACAAGATAAAAAACGTCCTGGTATATGGGATATACGACCATTAAAAACACCCTCATCCGATGAAACAAAATCCAATTGAGAATAAAAAACTAGTTGATTTTGTTGATTTGTTGTGTTCTGTTATACAGAATGTATTTGTTTCTATTCTAGATAAAATAAATATGATTTATATGAAATATAAACTTCAACAATTGATGTAGTTTTATTTTTATTGTAAAAACAGAATGCATGGCATTTTATTGCTGGTTTCTTTATAATAATAAATTATAAAAGTCTATTGAAGACCACTGAGTCCGTCTTTGATAATAAACTTCACAAAGAAAGATTTATAGAAGATAAGGAATGATTTAAGCCCCCCCCCCCCCACTCAGAAACCAACTTTGTTACTTTTCATCCGATTTCAACCAAAATTTCAGAGAATGTTAGTCTTTGCTAGAATAGATTATAGTTAAAATATCTTCCGAAATCTGCAAGCCATTCACGAGTTATAGTCAATTCATTGGTCAAAAATACCCTTTACGCGGGCAAGGTTTTCAACATGAGGATACTAGCTAAGCATATCGGTGTGGTTTTTGAAATTGTAGAGTGCCCCTAGGGCTAGGTCGTAATAGAGCTCGATTTTTTAATTTCCCTTTGTTTGGTTTTTAAAAAAACATTTTCGAAAAATTCTCAAATTCGTGACCAAAAAATCGCTAATTAAAATCAAAGATCTAAGTTTTTTATTTAAACAAAGGAGAAATTAAAAAATCGGGCTCTATTACGACCTAGCCCCAAGTGTCTGCTATATAACAAAAAAACATTACCACTTTTATTTTGAGTCGTTATTGAGTAAGGTTTGCTCGCGTAAACGGTATGCTCGAAAAAATTGATTTTGAGAAAAATGGAGAATAAGTTTTTAAAAACCTTATTTTTCTCAATAGGGGGGGGTTCAGAAAAACTTATGTAATATCCTTAAATCTCATCATAAAATCAATCAACTGTAGTGCATTCGAGAGTAGACACTTTGCTCTATCTAATGAGTTATAAATCACAAAATCGATAAATTTGACCAAATTTGACTTTTCTGAGGGGGAGGGGGGGCTTAATTTGAATTATAAATTTCAGATAAAATTGAATTTTAAGTAAAAATAAATGCGGAAACTTCGGATTTAAATCCGAGAGTTATGTGTACTTCAAAAAGTGAATGAGACAGATGAGTCGTTCTAGAATATGGGGATATAAAAATTATTCTGGCAAACCTTATCTATAAACACTTGATTTCTATTGGCTACTGCTCAACCAATAGGATTTGGGGATGAATACAGCTCAGATTTGAACTCTTCACCTTGATTTACCCTAAGAAAGTCGTTTTTCCTATAACTTGATTTCTATTGATTACTGTTCAACCAATGGGATTTCGAGGCGAATAGAGCACAGATTCGAGTTCTCCACCCCAGAAAACCTCGAACTATCATCTCTGTGATCGAAAGATAGAACTCTATTTGTGGATCAATTAGAGCGTGACAAAAACAGAACCGAATTCCGATTAATTATCTTTGCAATAGCTGAGTTGGCTTTCTTGTTTCCTTATGTTTTATATACCATTTTGTAGCTCGTAAAATTCTCTATCGAATGGTATATAATAGTTGGGGTTTTAGTTGACTATGATACGAAAAGTCTTTTACGAAAGTGGGGATGGGTCGATCTTTCCATAGGGAAGGTGCAGGGAAAAATGAGTATTTTTGCAATAACTCAGGAAGGGCTCGACCAATCCTTCTCATCTTCGAACTCGACCGAGATATTGTTAAGACTGAACTGTGTAGAAAATTTCATCGCGATCGGACTCTCCTTTCGAAAGTTATCGTGTTAACGGCCGGACGGACGGCCGGACGGCCGGACACACTGACCGATTCTAGAGTGTACTCACTTTTTGAGTACACAATAAACTTAGATAGACGAAATAATTTTCTTTTGTTTAAAAACAATTAAAATTCCTAATTTTTATTATCATTAAGAAAACATTACACGTACGTGTTACTTTTTAATTCTTTAGAGTATTCATTTTTTTTTCTTGTTTTCTTATTGATATTCTAATGTATGCATGAATGAATTCTTCTGCGTTGATAATGAGAAAATTATATTCGAAAATACTTTTATCAAATAAGCAAATCAACATATATCTTTCGTCGCAATAGAAGCCCTTGAGGCCTTCTATAATATTCAAGTATTCATAAATTTTAGATATGATTTTAAGTGTGTTACCGAAAAGCAAACTCTCATCACATCATGATATTACAAGCAGAAGAAATATAAATATGTTAATGTCCAAATATCTGTTCTCAGACAATATGGCAGAGATTATGATCTCAGACATCGATGAACAATAAAAATGATTTCTAGAAATTATTCTTATGCATGAGTATTTGATGAGATAGAAGCTCCGAGGGAGTGATGCTTCTAATACGAGGAGGGAATAGTTTATTAATTTTTTTTTTTTGAGTATTAAATTCCAAGAGAAGATATTTATTATTCTCAGGAATGTCCTGAGAAGATTGATGATTGAGGAAGTTGATTGGAAGATTTTTGCTAAATTTCATCGAATTTTAAAAGGAAAAGATTAAATGTTCTTCTTGTTGATTAATAAACTAAAAAACAAAAAAAGAAAATTATTCAAGAGTGGAAGGGATTCATTCTTGATTACTCTACCATAGAGAATACATAATCTAAAAAATTCTTTATTGTTTTTCTTTAAAATATTACTCAATAAAACTTTTCAATATTATCTATAAATCAAATTAAACTCGAAGATAAATAAATATTGATAGACAATAGTACTCAAATATACCTAACCTTGGATATTCTTTCATTTGTTTTTTTTTCTTATCGAAATTTATTTCCATATACTAAATGTCAATTGAGAGTACTTGTGAACTTTATAACTTTCTAGATGCAATTAATATTAAATATAATTTAAAATACGTATATTAAATTAGTTAGTTATTTTCATCTTTTTCGCACGTAAAAAAAAACAAATGGGTTAATATAGTAGGTTAGATAAAAAAAGAAGCTTGCATTTTTTATAAGCTATTGATAAGCAATGACGTCGCAAATAATTCAAAATTAACTCTGATCTTTTCATGAGTCATATTAGTTCGACATTATCATTTTTCTTTATTCTCAAAATATATTCATAGGAAAAGAAAGAAAAGCATAATATTTCTATTGACATGCGCAAATGATTTAAAGTCTTTTTTAACTTCATTATGATGAAATATTATTGTTTCATACAAACTCGTCAATGCATGACCTTCTTTTTTCTTTTTTTATTCATTCATTCAATCACAAAATAATAATAATAATAATTGCAATATGTGACTAAGTGTCCATGAGAAATTTTGTTTAATTGAAAGAAAAAACCGGAAAATTTGTACAAATTTTCCGTGAATATTATGATTAATATTCAAACTCATATTCATTTGATCATGAATGATTAGTAATATGAGTCATTATATAAATATTACCGATGCCTTACTTATTTTATTGATATTTTATATTTCGCAAAAATAATTATTTAGGAAAAAAAAAACAAATATTATCATTTATTAAGATCAGACAATCATGTCGATATTATAAATGATTAATGAACATTGTCATTTATTCGAACATGAATTAATAGGTCTAATAAAAGTGAAAAACAATATGAAAACATAAAGTCATAAAAAGTTTGACTAACACAAAATCATTCGTTGTTTGTGATTCAAGTAATCAACAAATATCTTCATAGGACACTAGTTTTTCATTGATTCTATACAAGTTGCACGGTTCCCTCTGAATTTACATTACATGCCTATTTCTTTCTATCAATCGATTGCTGAATCATTAGTTTCAACTGTTTGCACAATTGCATCATTCAAGTCTACACAACTGTATACATCAAATTTTCAATGAAAAATAGTCATAATAATATTGTTTCTAAGAAAAATATTTTTTTTATTATGTATTGATGAAAAAAATTTTTTTAATTTCTAATTTTTCAAAGAAGAGAACTCTGAAAATATTGAACCGATTCGAATATTTCCATTAGAAATAATATCATATTCGTTTTTATCAAAACGATCATGAATCAAATAGAATGTTGTTAGATACACTTATTTCAATGACATCGTATATTATATGATACTTGAATTTGACAAAATAATGACATAAATGTGAATTTTTCATTTGTGTAAATCTTAGTTTCTATTGATTCATCTTGTTTGAACAATGATGAAATATTTCGATTCATAGAAATGCTCTACTTTTTTTCTGTAGTTTTTTTTTTATGATAATGGTTACTTGTTTGTCAAGTAGAAGTAACTGGTGTCCATAGAAACATGCCTATTGTAATTTAATAGCAGCACATAAAGAATATTTTCTTATAATAATCATAATTTTGTTTGAAAATATTAAACATAATATGCATATATTTTGAATCATACCTTTTGTATATGAGAATATGCCTAATTAAGCTTTTCAATTCGATCGAGATTTTTCTATCATAGGATACTGTAAAAAAATTTTCTTTCATATTTCTCTATGACAATTTGATTCAATGCAAATGAAGAGTAATGTACTAAAAACAAAAAAAAACATTTTTTTGGTATTCTTTCGCCCACTATTGAATTGCTGACTCAATAATTGGGCGCAATGTCCAAATAATTATTGAAGTACTGTATTTTTTTAAGCGACAAAAAAAAATTCAAGTGTAGTGAAGTATAGGTATGAAGTGTGAAATGGGTAAAACGAAAAAAAAAAAGAAAATGAAGCAACAGCATCAGACAAATAAATTATTTTTCTACGTTTTTAAATAAGCGCCCTTCACGTTGTTGCCCCATTACGTTTTTGTCACTCTCCAAGTGAGTATATATCATACATAGAGAACAACCGTATATAGTCACTTATTATCGCTCTCGTCACCATTTACCTCTTACACATCTGATTCTTCTAGAAGTAAGTATACGAGCGAACAAGAAGAAAAAATAAGGTATTAATGATGACGTTATCGAACAAGCGAAGAGAGAATTTTTTTTCTTTTTTCTTTTCTTATATTCTTTGATATCG